CACAGACCTTTCCCATAGGAATCTTAGACTGAAAAGTGACTGAACAAAATTCAACTGTAAACATTGGCATGGTATTTGATGCATTGGGTGAAAAGGGTGCTTGCTAAATTGGGCTTCTGTAGTAATGACAACACTTCTGGAGTTTGACCTATAGATGGCGGAATTTACATTCTTTTGGCTGATCAGAAAAATGGAATGCCTTTTCTAAATAGGAAATTTCATTTTTATTAATAACCTGTTGCCGACTCTTTACACACAAAAACTTAAAAAACAGCTACTTTCATTTAGTGTATATAACCCGCAGGTTATGCAGGGTTTTACAATTCCCTCCTCCTCCCCCCATGGGCTATACTAATCCACGTGTTATACAAGTTTATTTTTTTACTGAAATTACAGGAACACAAGACTGATTCTTATTTGATAAAAGCAGCATATTTTAATTTAATAATAGCGGTAGTGATGTTAAAATACATTAAAGTACATTAAAAGTTAAAACATTAATGTGAAACTAATTATAAAAGAATAATGGTAAAACAGTTTAAAAAAGCCATCCTTGCATTGTCATAAAATACATGTTTATTCATTCTGCATCACTAGAATCAGAGATAGCATCCTCCTCCTCAGCGTCTTAGTTTTCAAAACCGTCAAAACTTTCGTCATTGTGGCTAGCTTGAAAAACATCCATAAAATCCAAAACCAGGGCTAGGTGAGCTTCGGTGATGGTTGAGGTCTGTGGTGCCGAATCAAAATCGCTGTCGTAGTCGGATTCGGAGCTAGACGAGTCAGCGTCGGGAAGAATTTCACATTTACCTAACCCATTCCGAATAGTAGCCTGTTTTATTCTGTCCCAAGCAGCCAAAACCCATTTGCAAACTTCCATGTAAGTTGCACGGCGCTGTCGACCTGCCGGAGTGAATGTGTGTTCCCCATTTGTCATCCAATTGTCCCATTCCTCTCGGACGAAGCTCTTGAACGGGTGGTCAACAGCCACATCAAGTGATTGCAACTTGCAGGTCAGTCCACCTGGCATTACGGCAATATGTGCACCCACGGCGTTGATATGTTTCTGAACTGAAGTTTCTTTATGGGTGGCCAAGGAATCTAAAAGCAGCAGAGATTTAGGATTAAAAAACCCACTTTACATGCATGAAAGCAGCTGTATGTCCATGTCTTCATAACGTCAGTGTTCATCCAGCCCTTTTTGTTACAAACCACACAACCAGCCGGCAGTTTTTCTCTAGGCATCGTTACCCTCTTAAAAATCAACATTAGTTTTAATTTATCACCATTTGGCGTGCATGTCAACACTACAGTAAAACAGGTGCATTCATAGAATCATAGAACCATAGAGCTGGAAGAGTCCTGAGAAGGTCATCAAGTCTAGCCCCCTGCTCTAGGCAAGACCAATCCCAACTACCAGTGGTTGCTACACTGACTGTTTTCGATCCAGTTTCCACAACAGAGTGAGTAGCGGGTATATCAAATGACATGGGCACCTCATCCATGTTAATAACGTTGTTTGGTTTCAAGCCCAGCTGGTTAATTTCTTTGTGTAAAAAAGTTTTAAAATCATCCATTTTCTTCTCCCATTCGTCGGGAAGACATTGGCCAACAGATGTCCGTTCATGAACGGACAGATTTGTTTCTCCGCATAAATTTGTACACCCAATTTCCAGAGCCCCCATTAAAATAATAGATTTCTGTTCCATAGCCATAAGTCGAGCCTTGAGCTGTATGGCTACCATTGACACTGCCTGTTTGTTCTCTTTCTGTGCACGAACCCACTTCAACAGGTTTTCTTCTATATTCAGCCACTTGGCTTTCTTTCTGTGGTGCGCTCTTTTCCTAGGGTGTAATTTCTCAGTCTCTGCTTCTTCCTTTCTCCACTCCCGAAGAGACTTTTCATTGACAGAATATTTTCTTCCTGCTGCTTTGTTTCCATTGTCCTTTGCATATGTCACAGCACACAATTTAAAATAAGTTTTAAATACTTTTTAAAAATTCATTACAAGTTAAAATTACGAAAGGAATAAGGGTGTGGTTCAAAGGGGTTATATACCAGCAGTAAGGGTTGTAGCATACTTACTGCTCAGCAGCTGCAGTTCATTAACATGTCATTACAGGTGCTGTTCATTAACAGTACCCGCGGTTCATCTGTCACGGGCTATACACCTGTGTGGGTTATCCAAGACTTTTTTACACAATCAGGAAAAACCGTGGGTTATGCACGTGCGCGGGTAATACACATGCGCGGGTTATATATGCTAATTTATGGTAATAGTCTAGCAGCACCTTAAAGACTAACTAAACATGTAGATGGTATCATGAGATTTTGTGGATGCAACCCACTTCTTCAAATTACTGAAGCTCTTTACACGTAGTCTGCATGCCTTCAGCGGTTGACTAGCTATCAATAGAAAACAACTGTTCTAAAACATCTAAATAACTTAAAACAACCATCTCATGAAGTCACTTTTAGCTGCATGTGAAAATCCCACTGAAAGTCTACTGAATGAAATTGCTCGTAATTACAAAATTCTGATTTCTAACGCTATGCACACATCAATATATCATTTTAATGTTTTGGAAAGCTGTTATAATTTAGGTTGTATAATTACGTTCATTTTAAACATCCTCTTTTTAAAAATCCTGTAACTTTCCCCCTTTTTTAGGCTGAAATTTTCAGTAGTCTGTCTGCAGATGAATTTTTCTAGGAAATTTGAGCAATAGTTCTTACTGGCTTTGAGTACAGAGAAATGGAGAATAAACATCGTGAAGGGAATAATTCCGGGGTACAGGTGAAAACAAGCAGAGGATCTCCGTTCTCAGCAAGATCCCATGGACTGCCTCAGTTTACCCCTACACATAGCCTTTTAAAACAGTTTTCCAGTGGAAAAAGAAAATAGTGAGAATTACCTTGCAGCTACAATATGTCATTACTCAAAATTATAAATATAGAAACCTGGGGAGATGGACATTTTAAATGACATTTCTTAAAATGACTTGTTCCTGAAAAGTTTCTTGACTACTGTTTCTATTTTAGTGAGCCATTAGCCAGCCTCAAAGAAAAGGTGGATTTCTTTATGATCATGGATAGGCCTATCCATATTGTTCTCTCTCTCATACTATTCCAGTCCCATTCTTGTGAATACTGGTTGGACCTCCCTGGTCCAGCACCCTGGGACCTGACCAGTCCCAGACAAGGGAGTTTGCCAGACCAGAGGAGCTCTGGGAGTGAGGGGAGAGCTCCAGCCTTCCCACTGGGCTCCTCTCCCCAGCCACCTGGCACTGCTGCCCTACCCTCGCTGCAGCATCTCTGTGGGCTCCGCAGCCCTGCGAACTCCTGCCGCCCTACCAGCTTGCTGCCCCACAAGCTCCAGCGGTCTCAGCAGCCCTAGCGGTTTCCCAGCCCTATGAGCTCTGGCATCCCTGCTGTTCTGCGAGCTTCAGCTGCTCCCCTGCCAGCTGTGGGCTAGGGTGACGCTAGGGATGTGAATGGCTAGTCAACTGTCCGATAAGCAAATGCTTCTTGGATAGGCGATACACTAGTTAATTAATCCCTTCCACCCCCTTGCTGCTTCCATCAGAAAGAGGCCGGGCAAAGATGAGGGGGCACTTCAAAATGGCAGTACTGCATGGAGCCTGGGGACAGACTCTCGGCTCCATGTGACGCTGCTGCTTTTAAATGCCACATGCAGCCCAGGGTCTACAGATTTGAAACAGTATGTGCCTCCTGGGGTCAGCTGGGGATTCCCCCACTGACCCCGGGCTCCATGCAGCACTGCCTATTTGAAATGCCATGGGGCGCACGGGGCCAGCAGAGGACTCACCCTCAGCGCTTTTGCCTTTGAAGCTTAGCTTCACTTTGAAGCTTACACTTATCCACTATTTGATTAGCCAATTAAATTTAACATCCCTAGTGCCCCACTAGTGCCCCCCTGGATGTTGCTGGACCAGAACGTCCCAGACCACAGAGGTTCAGCCTGTATTAATGGTACTGAAATATGGTATCCTGTGCTATGAAAGCAAACTTCTAATGAATTTCAAGCTACTTTGATTCAGTGTTGTTGTATCAGGCAGCATAGTAGTTTAAAAAAGTCATCTTATAGGATAACATCAAGTGATGCAATTTCTATTTTCCTTTTTTTGGATAGCTCGATCTAATATGAATATTGAATGATGCCAACTTAAACCATAAAACATATGTTTTGTTGCAAATTTGATTTCATGTTCTAATGGGAGACAAATTTCTCAATATGGTATCAGTACAAATGTGCAGCGTGATTTGGGAAAATGAATTTAGTAAGGTTTGTCAACTTTATAATATATAAATATATATAATAAGTATGTTAAGAAGCACATAAAGTATCGAGTACACAATTAGTTGATAAGGGGCCACTGTGGCTCTGCAGTTTAAATGTAGTAGGAACTGGTGTGCAGGCAGCCTGGCTCCTACTATATTTAAACTGCAGAGCCTCAGCAGGGGTAGGTCTGGGACACGGCATGAGCCAGGACTTAGCAGTCCTGGCTTGCACTGGGTCCCAGACCGCTACGGCTCTGCTTTTTAAATATAGTAAGAGCTACCTGGCTCTTCCTACATTTAAAAGGGAGAGACGCAGACCCGGCTCATGTTGAGTCCCCTGCTGTGACTTTGCCTCCCCTTCTGCCCTTCTATGCACCATGGAGATAGTCCTTGGGGGGGAAGGGGAACCGCCTTTTAAGCCAGTTCTCCCCAGCTCCTGCTCCTCCTCTTGCTGCCTCGGATACAGAGAGTAGTTGAGTAGTAACTCGAATACCCGATAAGCCTAAGTATATCGGGTAGTTGACTACTCAAGTAGTTGTTTACATCCTTACTTCATAACATAATTTCAATCAACTTCATAAGTATACAGCTGACTGGGTGCTTAGATTTTTATCTTGCATTGTCAAAAGGCAGCTTATCTTTTTGTATCTGTGAAATGCCTTTCACAAATTGTGATGTATATTGTTTTCTATTGCAGTCCACAAGAATTGGAATGTCAGTGAATGCAATACGCAAACAAAGCACAGATGAAGAGGTTACATCTTTAGCAAAATCTCTCATCAAATCTTGGAAGAAGCTGTTAGGTATGGTGCAAAAAGCTTTTTCATGATCTTTCTTCTCCTTCTGGCATTTGATCATGTGTATTGTGGGCATTATAAACAATTGCTTCCATTTGATTCTTAACTCACCAGTTCTCCCATTTGAATATTCAAGCTTTTTGTGCATCACCTGCACCATTTTCATTTTCCCTTTGCCCTCCATCATTCATGGGTCACCTCTGGGCCATAGTCCCTGTATCCTCATTGGGAATAACGTGTTGCTCGCAGTCAAGCAGCAGGAAGCACATCTCTCTGCTGTGACTAATATTTATTACTACTTCTTGATACTGAACTAAATGCCATAGTGGCTTTACTGCTGCATTAAATGCTACTGACCTTTTGTTTGTCTAGCTCAGTGGTTCCCAACCTCCAGTCCATGGCCCATTGCCGGGCCATGAACTGCTCGCTGCTCGGCAGTGATGGCTGTTGGAGCTCAAGCTGGCTGTTCCTGGCAGCTCATCTCTGGCAGCCGTGGTGGCTCAGGAAGCAGAGCAGGAGGCTCCTTCCTCCCTCCTCCCACTTGCGCGCATGGCGAGATGCACTTGGGGAGGATGGGGGCATGAAGAAGGAGGGAGGCGCGTGAGCTGCCAATGGCCACTCCCCCTGCCCACACGCTGCTTTTTCCAGCAGCAGCAGGAGTAACATCAGATCAAATTATTATGGAAAGTATTTCTCTTGGTAATAACAAAAATAGGACATGGTATTAGAAGCTAGTTCACCACTACTCTTGCTGTACTTCTGCTTGTGGGCTTCAGAAAATGTCTGTTCAACCACGTTTTGCATTCCATATTTTGTTTCATGCTTTAATCTTACTATATATTTGAGAAATGTGTGTCTGTTTGTCCATCCGTGAGTACATTTGTTAAGAACTCTTCCTAAATGGTAAGAGGTAAGACTACCAAATTTGGTATGCATCTTGTCCTTATCATAACTTAAAGCAAGGTAAGGGTTCGGTTGTGTGAAGACAATGGGACGTGCCTGGAATTGTATTGTTTCTCGAAAATCGGAAAGGGGAGGGGTCTTATAGGAGGGAGTTATTCTGTAGAATGACCACGGGGCAACAAGGAGCCAGAGATGGGGGGACTGCAACAGCTATAACCCCATTCAGCCTGCAGAGGGCAGGGGTGGAGAAAGGACTAGGGATGTTAGCATGTAGTCATTTTGGATTAACTCATAAACTCAGTCTTATCAGTTAATCCAAACAACTACACACACTCTCCTCCCCTTGCTGCCTCTCTATCAGAGGCAGCAAGGAGAGTGTAGGTGGGTGCCAGTGCCCATGGGGAGCCCCTAAAATCCAGTTCCTCTCAAACACAAAATCCCGCAGAGCTGCCTGTCTCCCACACTCCTCCCCCCCATAAACAGGCAAAAGTGCAGAGGGTGAGGGGGGCAGGAAGCA